TCACTTCAAACCAATCAAAATGGCTAGTTATGAAAAGACAAGAAATAGATGGGGCACCTTGGTGGCTCAACTGGTTGATCGTCCAACTCTTGATTTTGGTCAGGTCATGAGCTCACAGTTTTGTGAATTCCAGCCCTGTGTCAGGTTCTGCACTGCTTGAGATCCTCTCTCTCCCTCTCTCTCTGCCTCTACACTGCTCATATTCTCTCTCTAAATATAAAAAAATTGTTCATAGCAGCACTCTCCACAATAGCTAAAACATGGAAAGAGCCTAAGTGTCCATCAACAGATGAATGGATCAAGAAGATGTGGTTTATCTATACCATGGAATACTACATGGCAATGAGAAAGAATGAAATCTGGCCATGTGTAGCAACATGGATGGACCTTGAGGGTGTTATGCTGAGCGAAATAAGTCAGGCAGAGAAGGACAAATATCATATGTTTGCACGTACAAGAGGATTAGGAGGAACTTGACGGAGGAACAAGGGGGAGAAGAAGGGCGGAAATGGTGGCGGAAAGGGAGAGAGGCAAACCATGAGAGACTCTTGAATGCTGACAAAAACTGAGGACTGATGGATGTGGGGGGGAGGAGGGGATGGGCATGGAGGAGGGCACTTGTGGGGATGAGCACTGAGTGTTATGTGGAAACTAATTTGACAATAAACTATTTGTAAAAAAAATATATATATATATAAATTAAATTAGTAAAATAAACTAACATAAACAACAAATAGCAAATGTTGGTGAGGATGTGGAGAAAAGGGAACCCTTATGCACCTCTGGTAGAAAGGTAAATTGGTACTGTCGCTTTGGAAAATAGTGTGGAGTTTCCTCAAAAAATTAAAGATAGAGATACCATTTGATTCAGTCATTTCACTACTGACTATTTCACTACTGGCTATAAAATAAAAGTAGTAATTTGGAGAGTTAGATGCTTCCTTATGTTTCCTGTAGCATTAGTTACAATAGCCAAGATATGGAAGCAACTCAAGTGTCCTTCCATAGATGAATGAATAAAGAAGATATATCTATCTATATTTATATCATCTATATCTATCTATATACATACACACATATGCACACACACACTCATGCACACATACAGTGAAATACTACTTGTCCTTAAAAATGAGATCTTGCCATTTGCAACAACATGGATGGATTTAAGAGTTATGCTATGTGAAATAAGTCAGACAGAGAAAGACAGAAACCATATGATTTCCTTCTATGTGGAATATAAAAAATAAAACAAACAAATTCTTAAAAATGGAGAACAAGATGGTGGCTGCCAAAGGGAAGGTGGGTGAAAGGATGGGCATAATAGATGAAGGGTTTAAGATATACAAACTTCCATTCATATAATAAGTAAGTCACAGATATAAAAATACAGCATACAGAATATAGTGAATAATACTGTAATAACAAATGGTGACTACATTGACCATAGAGAGCACTGAGTAATGTATAGACCTGTCAAATCAATATGTGTACACTTGAAACTAATATAGCATTGCATGTCAAGAAACTTCGCTAATATTTTTTTTACTCTATTGTCTGAAAGAGCTCATGTAGAGTTAATATTGTTTCCTCAAAAATATTTGGTAGAATTCACTAGTAAGCCATATGAACATGAGGTTTCTTTTCTATATTTTCTCCTGAGTATATTAAAATATAATTGACATGTTTTCTAAACATAAAATATACAATCTGATGATTTGATACATGTATATATCACAAAATGATTACCATGAGGGTAATTAACACCTCCATCACTTCATATAATTACTTTCTTGTTTTTTGTGGTGAGAATATTTAAGACCTACTTTCTTAGTAACTTGCAAATATATCATACCATACTATTAACTATTAGGCACTATGTAATACATTAGATATTCAGAACTTACTCATCTTATAACTGGAGCCTATTCCCTTTGACTGACATCTCCCTGTTTCTCCTACCCTCTCAGCCTCCTGCAACCATTATTCTAAACCCCCTTTTTTATGTATTTGACTTTTTCAGATTCTGTGTATGAAATCACACAGTACTTTTGTTTCTCGCTCTGACTTATGTGACCTAGCATAATGTCCTTAAGGTCTAATCATGTTCTAAAAATTGGCAAAATTTCTTTCTTTTTTATGGTTGAATATGTGTGTATGTCTAGGTGTGTGTGTAATATGTATGTATACGTATATGTGTATATGTACACACACACCTGTATGTATATGCCACATTTTCTTTATTTACTCATCTGTTGACAGATACTTAGTTTGTTTTCATATCTTGACTATTGTGAATAATACTACAGTCCATATGGAGGTGCAGATATCTCTTCAAGATAGCAATTTCCTTGCCTTCATATATATACCCAGAAGTGGAATTGCTGGATCACATGGTAGTTTTATTTTAAATTTTTTGAGGAAATGTCATTCTTTTTCCACAGTGCCTGCATCAATTTACATCTAACCAACAGTGCACAAGGGTTCTCTTTCCTCCACATCCTCACCAATGCTTGTTATGTCTAGCCTTTTGAAAATAACCATTTAGGGGCGCCTGGGTGGCTTAGTCGGTTAAGCGTCCGACTTTCGCTTAGGTCATGATCTCGCTGTTCGTGGGTTCGAGCCCCGCGTCGGGCTCTGTGCTGACTGCCAGCTCAGAGCCTGGAGCCTGTTTCAGTCTGTCACTCCCTCTCTCTCTGACCCTCCCCTGCTCACGCTGTCTCTCTCTCTCCTAGAAATAAATAAAACATTTAAAAAAAAAAAGAAAGAAAAGAACCATTTAAACAGATGTGGTGTGATATCTCATTATGATTTTTATTTACATTTCCATTATAATATGTAAAGTTGAGTGTCTTTTCCTTTACTGTTTGGCCATTTGTATGACAGCATGGAGCCTGATTACGATTTCTCTTTCTGCCCCTTTCCTGCCCATGCACATACTGTAAATAAATAAATATTAAAAATTAAAAAAATAAGATGTCATATGAAACCTAATTAGTAAACGGTACACCATTAGTGGTTAATAGAGCAGACTTTGGTCAACTTTAAGATTTAATATCTGGAATCATCCCTAATGGAGACACTGCAAGAAAACTTTTTTTTTCTTCTTTTTTTCATCTGTCAACTAATGATAATATTAAATTTTTAACATTGTTATGTTATTCATTGTAATGAAGGATCAGTGAATTGCCCATACAAACTGTATTTAATAAATTCTAATAAATATTCTTATTCTTTATATATAATTATTTACATTTGAACTTTACAGATTCAATTGTGATCACATTATTTAAATTTGGTCTTTGTCTCAAAGGAATAGAATTAGAATATACTTCCTCTTGACTTAGCCTTTATGTAAGTTATTACATTCAAATTCAGAACATCCAGAACACACCATAAACTGTAACGTATTTTTAAATTTTTTCTTGAAAAAAATGTGTTTATGCTTTTTTGCTTTCAAAATAAAATGAAGTTTTACTTTTCCTTTGGACTATAGAGATAGCGAATTTTGAAAATTAAAAATAACTTTTTAACTATTACTGAATGTACATACATTTGAAAGTATGGAAAATGAAAAAAGTAAAAATAAGACTGAACTTTTTTGATAATTCTTCTATACCAAGATAGCAGCTGTTAACATCTTACAGATAGTTTCCAGTTTATTTTATAAACATCACTGTCTTGTAACACCATAGCTAAACATTTACTCACAATACAATTGTCTTTGAATAGATTCTTAGAAGCATAACTGCTGAGTTAGAGGGAATACAGGATTTTCATACTATTGTTAAGTCTTCATATTTAAAAATATTTTGTCTGACATTTAAAAATATTTTGTCTCTTGGTGTATGACTAGATTATAATTCTTTGTATTTTTGCCGATTTTCAAAATCCAGACAGGGGCGCCTGGGTGGTTTAGTCGGTTAAGTGTCTGACTTCGACTCAGGTCATAATCTCACGGTTCGTGGGTTCCAGTCCCGTGTCGGGCTTTGTGCTGACAGCTAGCACAGAGCCTGGAGCCTGCTTCACATTCTGTATCTCCCCCTCTCTGTTACCCTCTCCTGCTCAAACTCTCTCTCTCTCTCTCTCAGAAATAAATAAAAACACTTAATAAAAAACATCCAGACAAAAATCTTTTAGAGGGTTGCCTAGGTGGCTAAGTCAGTTGAGGATCTGCCTCAGCTCAGGTCATGATCTTGCAGTTTGTGGTTTCAAGCCTCCTGTCAGACTCTGTGCTGACAGATCAGAGCCTGGAGCTTGCTTCGGATTTCTCAAACAAAACAAAACAAAATAAACAACAAAAAAAAACATTAAAAAAGATTAAAAACTCTTTTACAAACATAATGCTGTTTTATCTACAGAATCATTTCCAGGTAACAGAATTTCACTTAGAATGGTTCGGTCCAAAATTGCTATGCATTTCCTTATTGGAAAGGTTATAAATGATGGATCTGTAAATACATTTTCAACCTATAAATGCAAATTTTAAAGTGACCTTATTATGGAAGCAGCTTCACAAATCAAAAGAATGGATGATTCGATATAAAGTGTGCTATACAATAGTAATGTTCTTTACTTTCCATTACATGGAAGAGTACACTTGCCCACACCCTTAAAGTCAAGAGTGGTAATGTGACTAGTAGTTATGGCCAGTATACAGAACGTGGAAGACTATTCACTCTCCAAATGAAAAGTAAAGCTATAAAATTATTATATTACATGATAAAAAACACAAAGATAAATTCTAGGTACATTAAAAATCTATCCATGTAAAACAAATTTGAAACAAAATACTTCACAACAATATAAACCTGGTGCATTGACCTTATGTTAAGATATCAACACTCTGTAATCATATGTGTGAAAGTGGAAATGATATTAGTTCAAACATTTGAAGGGTGACATTTTATTAAGGCCTGGTTTTTTATATCTATGATGAAGAAATATTTACATCCAACATTCACTGCCAGTAATTCAGTGCCTCTTTTCCACAGGATAGAATGCTTAAATTTTATCAAATGAAGCATATTTTTGAAATACTAGATAAAATGAGATGCCTGCGAAAACGTTCCACAGTGTCATTCTTGGGAGTTCTTGTCATTTTCCTTCTCTTTATGAACTTGTACATTGAAGACAGCTATGTTCTGGTAAGTTTTGGAGGTTCTTTATTTTGTTTTTGTTACAAATAAGGCCTGAGTCAAACTAGACTTAGTCCAATTGTAACAAACTTCAGTCCCAGGCTGCTGGCACAACCCTAGTTTGAGCAAAATTGTGACATGCATGTTTTCTATCTAGCTACTTTTTTTTATTAATTATATATTAACAACATTACAATTATTTTGGTTTATGTTGCAACATTTTCTTTAATGTTGTATCTTGCACTTCAAATATGTATATTTAGTTATAAACAAATTAGCCATCATCACCATGCTGAATTAATAGTATGTTGAACCACTTTGAGATTTAGTTTAAAAATATAGAACTTTGAAAATTGCTTACAGATATGAGTCCTTTACAATTTTCTTATAAAGATTTTCAAAATTCTATATTTTAACTAATGATACTAATTATTCTATTTTGTTATTATATATGACACCTCATTTGATTTTGAATAGCCATAAATGGCCACCATGTTATATATTTAAATTTACTGAAGAGTAACATAGAACCTTAAGAACTAGAAACAATGATGTGAAAACTATTCAGTAGTTTAAAAAAGAATAAATTAGTATATAGCATATAAATTAATTTTAAGTAAATTCTAGAAATGTACAAAGGACTTACTCTGGCTAATTCTGAGAACTTAATTTGTTCTATTATTTGTTGTTGTTATAAGTATCACATCATTCATTTCATGGGCATTATTGCTTACTCATTTTCATTCTGAATTGAGCTTAAGTTATCTGGAAAAATCCTAATTTTTATGCTATTATTCCTATTCATATATTTCAGAAAATCAAAATCTTGGACACACAAAGGACTAAAAAGTACTTTCCATAGTGCAAGCATGCTGAAAGTTTCAATTAATATATTAGCAAGAGAAAATCTGACAATAACCACCAAAAGCATTCCCCAGTAAAATGTTTTATTTATTGAACATGATTTATTAACTACCCATGATTTTCCATATATTATTCTATGTCCTATAACCTAACCATTTGATCTTAGTTGGTACACATACTCTTAGGAAGTCTTATGTAAAGCATCTTACTTCCTTTAGCATTGTTTGATGATGAAATTCTGCCAGATTCCTAGATTTTGTCTTTGCCTATGCCTTTTACATTCATGTACAGGTCTTCGTCTTGTGGACCCTTCATTCTATGATCCACAGACAATTCACAGTGGCTGAAATCACCACAGATTCATAAAATTTGACTAGGGATGATTTAGGTAAACATAGAAAACTGTAGAAATGTACTAATGATATGCATTTTGATTTTTTCTTTAAACCTGATTATTAGGTTTATAAGACTTAAAGACAATATATCAAGACCCATGTGATCCAGCTATATTTTTCTGGATAAAATTAAAGATCACAAATTAATTAGAAGAGATTTTCATAAGTGATTTAATTTTGTAATAAAAATTATTTCTTACATCTGTGTCTACTGGTAGCAGTAAATCACATCTTGTAAATCAAACACACAGTATTGACAGGATCCTTATTGCATTTAATGACTTGCTGGATTCATGAGACACTTTCAAATGCAACTGCAGTGTTTCATTTTAAACAGACAAATGACCGTTTTATGCAGCAAACATCCTTCTATAAAACCTCTTTAAATTTATTATAAATTTATTTATCTATTAAGAAATTTATTATAAAATCTTTAAGAAGTAATAGAGTATATATCTACAAAAAGATCAAATACTATTGCCCTGTTTTGTGAATTTTCCCCAGTTCTATCTATACTTCAGTCCTAGCCATATAATGTAAAAGGTATGATTTAATGAAGCAGCTCTTACTAAAGAGTACTTTCTCAAGGAAATTTTCTCTGTCTATATTAGACATATATCTAGTCAAATTTACAAATAAGCCCAATTATAGAGAAGATATTTCTCCTTAGTTCTAAAATTGAAATTATTTGGAGGCACCTCGGTGGCTCAGTTGGTGGAGCATCCAACTCTTCTTTAGCTGAAGTCATCATCCCAGGGTCATGGGATAGAGCCCTGTGTCTGTGTCCATGCTAAGAATAGAGACTGCTTAAGATTCTCTCCTCTCCCTCTGCCCCTCTCTCCTGCTGATGCTTTCACTCTCTCTCTAAAATTAAAAAATATATATAAAATTATTTTTAAACACTTATATTAAAGTGGAAAAATGAGTTAAAATGATTGTTAAATAATATCATAACCTTTACTGAAAATTTAATGACAGTATTTTTGCTAGTTTAATTTCTCACTATTTACTGGATGATATTTTACCTAAACTGCAGTTAGAGCTAATTTTTATCTGAAAGCTTAATATATATAAAGGTTTAAAAAGTTCTTTAAATAATTAATGTAAAATTACATTAATACTGTTTTTTCTTTCAATGTTTTATTTCTTTTTGAGAAAGAGATAGAGATAGCATGAGCAAGGGAGGGTCAGAGAGAGAGGGAGACACAGAATCTGAAGACAGGCTCCAGGCTCTGAGCTAGCTGTCAGCACAGAGCCCGATGTGGGGCTCGAACCCATGAACCGTGAGATCATGACCTGAGCCTAAGTGGGATGCTTAACCAACTGAGCCACCCAGGCGCCCCAATATTGGTTTTCTAAAAGTGTTTAATACCCATGGAAAGCCAGCCACCTACTAATATTCAAAATAGTTTCTTTTTAACACTTCTTCCTTTGACTAAAAAGGTCTGTGTTTATTTCAGATGTCATAAAATTATCTGATTTGATTTTTTTGACTCCAGAATGCCACAATGTGTACAATTTTCTAAACATAGACATTAGGAGATCTTTTTTTTTCCTTTCTTCCTTATTTCAGGGGGGAAATAATAGTTACAATTTGGAGAAAACAGATAAACAGTTACACGTTAAAAATCTCTGGAGTTACTTAGCACATTATATTCTGCTGTTTTTTTGCTGGAAAATCCATTTGTGGCCTGAATACTGGGCATATAACAGTTTAATGTACTGTTTGCATACTCGGAACACACGTGCCTTTCACTGGGAAAGGAATCTAAGCTCAGTGTAAGAGACAAATGCTATTACAAGGCAAACTAAATAGAAGAGACACTGCATGCCCAATCAACTTAGCCTCTGGGCTGTGAGCATCTTCAAAGTAGCCACTAGGGTATATACTTAGTCTGTAGCTAGTCCATTGAATTGCATTCCTATCCAGAAAATGATTGTCATAAAGCTTTGTCTTATTACTGAGAAATACACCACAGTATAGTAGCTACAGAAAGAAGGTATCCAGGGAGAGCCTAGCAGTTCAGGTAGATGCCTCTGGAAAGCAGCCAACAAGGCTGACTCAGGTGAAAGTTGCATTATTTATTTATGCTGCAAAGTGTAAAGAAGCTTGTTCTTGAGAATTTAATAAAGTGCTTTCATATAAGTTCCATTTTATTTTACATTCTGTTATGTCCTTCAATCAGGATGAATGTACTCTATCTTAACACAGAAAAGGTCTGGATTTTTACACATTCAAGATAGAATTCTTAAAGAAATATTCAATATCCTGCACTGCCTTTAGAATGTAACAGCACATAAGAACAGAATGGTAAAATGAATTCAGTATTGTGTTAACTGTGATTTTTATAGAAATTTCTTCTAGACCTTATTGATAATGGGCACTATTACATTACTGTTAAAGTAGCTGATGTTGAACTGAGTCCTTAGTTACGTTTTGGCAATCCTAAGTTTGTGGATTTTAAAACTTTAGTAATGTTTTATAGGTTCTCAGAAAGACACAGAGGAAAATATTTATGTGTAAAAAATTAAAATTATCACAATTTAATAGATATTCAATTAGTATATTTATAAGCAATATAGAATTCAAGGTATGATTCCATATATTTTGAAAGCCTGTCACTTATAGATGGCAAATATATTGTAAATATTTTAAAGGACTGACATATTTTTTCTCAGTTATCAAGGCAATATAAAATATAGAAATACAGTATTAATGACCAAGTATAGGTTTATAAGCATAATTGAGTATACAAAAAGGACATTTAGAGTGGATCTTGAATTGGCAATGATCTGTCATAGCCTGCTATTCTCAATATTTATTCTAAGACAATTCCAGTCTTGCCATTGAATTTAAATTTTGAGACAGTCACTTTCTGCATTGATATCTGACTTTATGTAAAGTGGTGAATGTTCCAAATAAGGTAAAAACCGTACTTGAATCCTTTCTAATTTGTATAGCAGGGGTTCAATTAAAGTTTTATTGACCATAGGCAGATAATATGAGGACCAAATTTGTTTAATGCATTTACTTTCCTTATTTTCTTCATGACTTTCATGGGCTTGATCTGCCATTCTATGTGGAATAGTAGAAGTGGATCCATATAACATCACATAGTACAGTAGACACTAGCCAGAAACAGCAAAATTCTTTCTGAATAGTTATTTTAAATATATTCTACCCATGGTAGTAAGCCATGTACAAAGGGCAATCAAGTCGATATTTTGCTAATAATGTGTAATCAGTAAAGACTTGATCAAAAGGTCGCTAGCTAATCAAAGTCTACTATTGAACTTGTACTGAAAGGGAGAAAAGCAGACCAATTAATGGCTAACATATATTTTAAGCTAAATATGAATATATATATATTTTTTTACAAATAGTTTATTGTCAAATTAGTTTCCACATAACACCCAGTGCTCATCCCTACAAGTGCCCTCCTCCATGCCCATCCCCTCCTCCCCCCTACATCCATCAGTTCTCAGTTTTTGTCAGCATTCGAGAGGCAAACTGAGGAACAAGGGGGAGAAGAAGGGGGAAATGAATATATATTTTTAATATAAACCTGCCCAGACACTGAGGAAGGCCCTTATTAGGATGAGTACTGGGTGTTATATGGAAACCAATTTGAGAATAAACTATATTTAAAAAATAAATAAAATAAATAAATAAAAGCAAATGAATAGAAAAAAGAAAAAAAATAATAAACCTGCCCAGAGATTGAATGACACAAGTCCATTACCAATTACACAATAGGCATCTTAAATATAAAAGAACTAGACTTCACCTGCAACAGAATTTCACACACACACACACACACACACACACACACACACACAATGAGCAAACATATCGTGAGAAAAACCAGTGCAAGGTCTGAAGACATTTCCTTGACTTGGTACAAATTTACCTTAAGATAAAGATATTTTTAAAAAACACCACAATGTCACAAGAACCATGGCTATCTATTCTTAACAGTCTTTAATTATAGTGGCCATATAAGTAACTGACTAAAACTTCTTGACTAATAAACTATCGAGAAAGAATTATATAGAAATATTGTGTAATATTATTTAACAATGCTTGAAGAAGAGGAAACAGCTTAATATGACTCAGGTATGGGAAAGGTAGTAAGAATTAGTTTTACGTGAAACTATAAAATATACGATTGTGAATTTTTAAGACCATTGAATTATTGTGATGAATTTGAATTTTAAATGAAGGCAGTGGGAGTTTTCACGTGAAGATTTTTTTTGGTCAAGAAAATGCCATTATTGGGGCGCCTGGGTGGCTCAGTCAGTTAAATGTCTGACTTCAGTTCAGTTCATGATCTCACGGTTTCTAAGTGTGAGCCCGCATCCGGCTCTGTGCTGACAGCTCAGAGCCTGGAGCCTACTTTGGATACTGTCTCCTTCTTTCTCTGCCCCTCCCCTACTTGTGCTCTGTGTTTCCAAAATAAATAAATTGAAAACATTTTTTAAAAAAAGAAAAAAAAGAAAATGCCATTATTAATGTATGCTGTAGAAAAGCAAACGGAAGAGGAATATAAAGAGGGCAATAGAGTAGGAGAGCCTGGAGTAGAGACTTTAGGTGAGAATTCAGGTGAGAGATAATGATCTACAATTTATGGTACCAGTAGTTGAGATTTATGTAATAACTATGTTATATATCAGTCCCATATATTCGCTACATAAGGAGAAACTTTAATCCATGACCATCTATTAATTATTTATTTTCTCTTCCACCTTCTTGGCATTCAGGAAGGAGACAAACAACTTATAAGAGAAACATCCACACATCAACTGAATTCAGATCGCTATGTGCATACTTTCAAAGATTTATCTAATTTCTCAGGAGCCATCAATGTCACCTATCGCTACTTAGCTGCCACACCTTTACAAAGAAAGCGTAAGTATCCCTACACTTTTAAATCAAGAATATAGTACATAAAATATTTTTTATTTAAAATAATGACAACCGACTTCATTTGTAGAGCAATAAAACTTTATAGGGTTTACTAATATAATACATTCTTTGGGAAACATTTCAATGTTTGCAACTTCACAAATTGCAATTACTCACTGATCCTATTCCATGAATAACAACAAAAAGAAATTTTTTAAAATGCCTAATTGTAATATAAACTTTCAAGTGGTTTATTATAGAACCATGTAGAAACACTGAGAAAAATCAATTTATTTAAAATTTTAAAGGTAATTTTAAAAACAACTATTCCCATATTGATATATTTTCCAACTCTAATGCTTTGGTTTTTATGACTTGCCACCACTTTTGAAGTAGTGAAAGTCACTGTTTTAGTTTCCCAAGGTGCTATACCAAATTACCACAAACGAGGTAGTTTAAAACGACGGACATTTATTCTCTCATGTTTCTGGAGACCAGATGTTCGAAATCAAGGCGCTGGCCAAGCCACTCTCCCTCTAAAAGTAATGGGGGAGAATCTTTTCTTGCCTCTTTCAGCTTCTGGTCTCTCTTGGCGTTCTTTGGTTTGTGGGGGCATAACTGTTATCCCAGCAGCCATCTCCACATGATCTTCTTCTCTTGCTGTGTCTCTCTGTGTTTTCTTTTCTTCTTCAAGGACACCTGTCATTGAATGTAGAGCCCACTCTAAATCTGATATGATTTATCTTAAGATCCTTAACTAATTGCATCTGCAAAAACTCAATTTTTAAGTAAGGTCACATTCTGAAGTTAAATAGAAAACTATTCAACTCACTACAGGCAGTTTGGATCAAAGAAGTAATATATGACACATGCTTCATGAATTTCAAGACGCTATAAACTCTACAGAGTATCATGATCTAATTAATGTGCCACCAAGAAAATACAGTTTATCATTTTAATTGTAAGATGCCATCAATTGTAGTATTCAACCTGCTTTTAAAATGTTTCTGTGTGAAAAACATGATTCGTGGAATCAATGAAACACAGTGATATCATGAATTTCTTAACAGATCGTGTGGAGACCACAGAAATTGAGTTCCCTGCTAAGAAATGTTTGTATGAGTCTGTGATCACCAGGTTGAGGAAATCTGCAGCTTAACTTAATGCAGGTTTCTTTAGGTCTATCTTCCATCATTCCTTCATTTCAAATGTCTATTGCTCTTAAGCTTTCTTCTAATTGCATAAGTTTGCCACTGTTTATTTTTATCTCCATCTGTTACATTACCTTTGTGCAAACATTACTAATTCTCCCTTTCCATCCTAAGTTTACTAATGTGTGTTGGCACATATGCTGCTGTTTTATACAAAGAGGCGATATAAACAGAGGGTACAAGCTGTGCGTTTGGGAACTTGGCACCATACTTCTCACAAAGTGTTAACACTGCACAAGTTAACGCATCTCCCTGTGGTTTAGTTTCCTCATCTATAAAGCAGAATGATGATGAGTGCAAAGCTATCCCAAAAGGCTATTAGGAATTTTCAAGATGCATATTACAGATAAAAGGCATAGTCTCCTGCCTTTTATGTATCCTGATACCACTGGCTCTTGTAAAGGCTATCAGCAAAGGCTGGTATCTTGAGTTTAATGGTACCAGAGAACATCCTCAGTTTTCAAAAGAATTTAGGGTGGTAAATCCACCCTAATCGCTACCTCTCTGACAGACTAGTGAGAAAGATTTTTCTTGGCCAGGGCTTTTTCAGTATTGTATAAGTCACAACAAATAAGTGTGTGAATTAAAACGGTTATCACAGGGCACCTGGGTGGCTCAAGTCAGTTAAGCGTTGGACTCCTGATTTTAGCTCAGGTCATGAGATTGGGCCCCACATTAGGCTTAGTGCAGGACTAGGAGGCTGCTTGGGATTTGTTCTCTCTCCTTTCTCTCTGCTCCTCCCCAATCATTCTCTCTCTCTCTCTCTCTCTCTCTCTCTGTCTCAGAAATAAATAAAATTAAAACAACAACAACAATGATCTTGGGAAATAAAAACATTTTTCTATTTTTCCAAACAGTACATATGAAATTTTATTCAGTCTGGCTCATGGTGAGAATCAGAGCTTTAAAAAGTGAAAAGATTTCAATAAAAAGACCACTACACTTTGAGAAGTAAACTGCCATTGCACAAACTTTTATTTTATTTTCTACAAATATCCAGTTTGTAATTTTAGATTTTAGGTATCTGCTAAAAATTCCTCCAGACAAAATTTCTGGAAAACGTGTTTCAAATTAAGGAAAACTGAGATATTCATATATTAGAACAATGTGTAATGCACTTGAGTAATAATTCAATTTTTAAAAAACAGTTTATAATTTTGTTTGCATTCTAATTATAAAGATAGGAAAATTTCAAAATAAAATTGCAAATTCCAATTATTAATTTTTTGGTGTAATATAATGACAGTGATCAAAGACAAATGAAAATGTACCATGTTTTCTATGAAAAATGTAAAGATGAGTAAAAGCATTAGTTATGCTTAATTTTCTTTTTTTATCTTTGAGACTAGTTTGTCATCCTTAAGTGTGAATTACCATCTCCTTTTGCATTTTTTAATAGTGTGGATATTATCCAAACATCTATCTTCTTTAATGGGCATATATGAAAGTGTTAAGCTGTCAAATGTCTTCAATCATATTTTTTATTTCATAAACAAATATTTACAGCAGTAAGGCTCATATGTCATTGTACTTAATAGACTTTTTTATAGAAAAATCAATTATGTATTAGGAACTATAGCCTTTATATGTTTAGCATAATTGTTTAATCACAAAATATTCTATGCATATCATTTACTAGATTTACCTAATATAGTAGCAGGCCTAAGGGGAAAGAGTTTTTTCTATGTTATTCAAAATCTATTTCACATTTAATTTGTCTTCCTTCTGAATTCTTTTGCTCAGGGTTTCTTACAATTGGACTGTCGTCAGTGAAAAGAAAAAAAGGAAACTATTTACTTGAGACAATCAAGTCAATTTTTGAGCAGTCTAGCTACGAAGAGCTGAAGGAAATTTCAGTGGTGGTTCATCTTGCAGACTTTAATTCATCTTGGCGTGAGGTCATAGTCCAGGATATTACACAGAAATTTGCCCACCATATTATTGCAGGAAGACTAATAGTTATACATGCTCCAGAGGAATATTACCCAATCCTGGATGGCCTTAAAAGAAATTACAATGATCCAGAAGACAGAGTCAGATTTCGTTCCAAGCAAAATGTAGATTATGCTTTTCTGCTTAATTTTTGTGCCAATACTTCAGACTATTATGTAATGCTTGAAGATGATGTTCGATGTTCAAAAAATTTCTTAACTGCCATCAAGAAAGTCATTACATCCCTAGAAGGAACCTACTGGGTAACTCTTGAGTTCTCTAAGCTTGGCTACATTGGAAAACTTTATCATTCTCATGATCTCCCACGTTTGGCACACTTTTTATTGATGTTTTATCAAGAAATGCCTTGTGATTGGCTATTGACTCATTTTCGGGGTCTTTTAGCTCAGAAAAATGTGATCCGTTTTAAACCATCTCTCTTTCAGCACATGGGTTATTATTCATCATATAAAGGGACTGAAAATAAGCTGAAGGATGATGATTTTGAAGAAGAGTCATTTGACATCCCTGATAACCCTCCTGCAAATCTATATACCAACATGAATGTTTTTGAAAATTATGAAGCAAGCAAGGCTTATAGTAGTGTTGACGAGTACTTTTGGGGAAAACCACCTTCAGCAGGAGACGTCTTTGTGATTATATTTGAAAATCCAATTTTAATTAAAAAAATTAAAGTGAGTACTGGAACAGAAGATAGGCAAAATGACATTTTGCATCATGGAGCCCTAGATGTTGGGGAAAATGTTATAGATTTCAAGCAAAGTAGACAATGTGTTACATACTTACGACTAGGGGAATTCAAAAATGGAAACTTTGAGATCTCCGAGGTGAATCAAAAAATTCCATTTGATATCCATTGTATAAGGATATATGTAACCAAAACACAAAAGGAATGGCTGATTATTAGGAGTATTAGCATTTGGACTTTTTAGCCAATTAAATCGAGATGTCCAGTTACTAAAGCAGGATTTCCTGTTTCATTTTTTGCTACCTTCCTCTTTTGCTACTTTTGTCCTTTGGAGGGAAAGCAATGGAGGGGACATTTTAAAAGAAAAGTCCAATCATTTTTACAGTTTTGATTTACATATTGTCAACATGATTTTACCCTAATATACGCTTGAGTTTATTTTAACTTCCAAAGTTGAATATCAGTCCGTTGTTAATTTCATTTATATTTTTAATGTTATCATGTTTGTTCCAAATTTTCAACTAAATGTCAAAAAGGTGACATGAAGGATTTAAAATGAGAAAACTTAGTTGGCTTGATAGTGAGTCTTAAAAAATAGTTGCCAACTGTATGCACTTCCTCAAGAATTGATAATTCATTATATCATCAGATAGCTCTTATTAAGGACCTGTGTGAATATGCAGTTGGTTAGAATGATAATCTGTTCTTTTTCTTGTAAACATAGATTTTCATAGACCTCTGTACATCTACAATGAATACCTCCTCATAGAAGTGATGTCTTTACAGCAAAATTTTATGTGTGGGTGGGGTAATGGAAAGAAAAAAAAATGGCTTAAAAATATTTCTCCCCTGATTATTTATATAAAAAGGGGCATTGTTCATTGTATAAAAACAATTGAGCACCTATTCTTAATAAATTTTCTGTGGGAGGCAGTCTTTTCTAGTTTCCCTTTTGCAAAAATAGTTATGCTCAATATTTTCAAGTTATATTGGGTACCTACATTTAATAGAAGAAATTAGAGAAGGCCTATAGTTAGCTCATTCTTACATTTTCAGTACATGCAGAAAATTTTTGAAATTGATTTTATATGTTTTGTATTAAAATTCATATAACTGAAATCACTGTAATCTATCATATACTTTTTTAGAGTTTTAATGGACATCTTATAAAAGAGAAAAGTAGGAAACCTAGAAATCAGTTGACTTTTCTATATTCAGAGTTAGTTCATAGTAAAGCCAAAGTGAGAGATCAGATGTTCTGATATCCACAGTGCTCTTTCCCTTACGTAGAGATTGCTCCTCACATAAATTAGGTTTTCTATTCTCCTTGACATGAGTCTCAGATAATAAGTTATGCTCTCTTGAAACAGCTAGTATAATTCTTCCATAAATCACATTATCATTCTGTGGAATAAACCTAAATTGTCTGAAAGGATGCTCTTGTATATGCACCCAAATAGAGAGCAAAACTGACTAACTTTTACCATAAAGGACTGGACAATTGTGCCTAAACCATGTGTCCTATTAAAGCATTTCAGGATACCTTAATGCATTGTAAAGACATTGGTTTTTCAGAATGTCCTGAGCTTGTCTGAACCTTCCTATTTTTTGACAAACAGCAAAGATGAAGGGGTTTACTATGAATACATGAAAAGTACTTCATACATATTTATGGATAGTCTCAAATATATATGTTTATATAGATTGGAAAGTATTTTATTCACTCCATCCAAACTGATTAAAATAGAAACTCGTAAAATTTTGGGAATTTTTTTCTTTTATTGATACAATAGCTAATGTGTATTTTTTGCATCCAGTTGCTATAGTATAATGAAGATAAATATCAATCTAAAATATTAATATTTTATTGCACAACTAAGTCTTAAAGTTATAAGAAAAAAATGAACACTGCCACTAAATTGTAATTTTTGCCTTGATTTGGAGTATATTTGCCAGACACTTAAAGATATTCTATTTTATTGGCTTTTCTCATCCTCCTTCATTAACTTGCTAGTTGTATAATTTCCTACATATATCTCAGAAATTACAGGTAATCATTTTCTTCACTTTTAATGATAAAAGGTACACAACAAAAAATATATGTAGTATCAAAGCTTAGGTAGACTCCATGAAGGGATGTTAACTTCATGGAGTCTGCCTGTTCTGAGAGTTTCCAAAGACCAGACGTTGACATCAACTTCTGGAAAATGCTTAAAGAAATATTGCTGAGGGTAACAATGAAATTGAATGTTTGCTAGAAAATTATAAATGCAAATGTGACTTAAAGGGGTTACATTTTTCTTAAATTTGATCTTTTCATTATAGAAACTGGGTTTGAATAAGCTGGTCAATCACCTAAAGATTTCTGTATGTTTTCTTTATAGATTAAGTAGAAGTCAACTTTTTAAGGAAAGACTTTGACAAACAAAGATTCTCTAAGGGGACATGGGGACAAATAACCTTTTTCTTTCAAAAAGAATTTTTGACCAAGCATTCTTTACATGATTCAATGTTGCATTTCCTATATTTAAAAATTCTGAATAAGGCTCTTGTAATCTTGTCTCCAAGACTTAGAGCAAAAAGACAGTTATTAGGTTTAGTCATATCCAATCTGTTGTTAAGCATAATGTTTCATCAATGTCTCTCTTTGCAGTGTTTTTAAATATATATATATATATTATTTTCTTTGTTACAAATATCCATTGAAAAAACACTGGAATGTAATATGAAAGTTGAGTTGTTTAATTGCTATGTAAATAAGATGCTGATAGGGTTCAAGCACAAAATATGTTATGTACCTTAAATAATGTCTCAATTTGTTTACTGTGAACTGACTAAAAAGTTTATTTACATTTAAGATTCTTCTACTTAAGAAAGCCTTTTCAGCATTTAGGAACATCAAAGAAAAGCAGTTGTAAAAGCACAATAAAATATGGAAATTATACATTTTTGAAAATACACATTACAGCAGCAATAACATGTCTAGATATAAAAATCATAAAAAGTGTTAATAGAAGCACTTTTGCATTATCACTAAAAACCTATCAACTTTTATAAGATAGATATTTTCCATATATAAAAATATAATTTAGAAACCAAGTGTCATTTAAATCTACTTTTCTCATATAGCTACACTTATTAGACTAGAACATTCCATTTCTTACTGAACTATTATTTTGGAGAATTTTAATAAAGCTATCATAGACGATAATGTACAATCATGACACATAAATGAAACAACTATTTACAAATTATCAGATACGGTAGGGAAAGCACTTGCTTATCTAAATGTCCATATGGCACACATCACTCAATATTTGCCAGTTTGTCAACATGTCCTTTAGAGCATGGCCCTGGATTTACATGGAAAACACCACTCTCAATGTCCTCTAACACATGAAGATGACAGTGTGATTCTCTTCCTTCACCTTTTTAGTATTCCATTAATACGGTTTAAGATTACATTTATTTTTATCACCGTACTACTGACTAATAGAGCTAACATTCAAACTTCATGACATTTATTACTGAGAAAACATGGCTTGCCATTTTGTATATGTTCAATTGATTCTTTGAAGGTTTCTTTTAAAATTTAATATTAATTTCAAGAGAAATTCGGTGTTTCTTCTGATCCATGATCCACACTTTCCTGCTCTTGGGGTTTTAACATAGTTGCCCAGGTTTGTGTTATCACAAATTTGATACGTGTGCCTTTTTTCCCCTCAGGAGATACAATGGCGGGGTGATGTAGACCTGAGTTTGAAATCCAGTTTTGCAATGACTGATTTCCTCCAGATATGAGGGAAGTTATTTAACCTTTTTGAATCTTAGTTCTTACAATTATAAAACTGAAATAATTTCACCCTGTAGGCTATTAGAACTGAAACTGTGATAACAAACTAATCAATCAAGAAACATGGTTCCTCTCTTTGTAACCATATTATATAGTAAGAAAACATATGGTCCTTCAAAACACTACCAGAGGCCTTCATCCTGATCAATATCATAAACTCCATTATCTTCTCGAATTCTCATCCAGACCACCCTCTTATATTTATATGGTCCAAAAAAAATCATATAGAATCACGTAAATGCCTTCTTAAAATCAAGATAGTCCTGTCATTCCTCTAGAAACCTCATCCAAAATTTGTATCTTTTGTTCCTAATATTCTCATTGTATTAATGATCATTTCTTTTTTAAAAATCTAGACCTATTTATTTTGAAAAGTTAAGAAAAAAAGAGTTTTTGTAATTTCTAAAATTTTGCTCAGAGGTACAGTTTTCTGGATTTTTTTAAATACCAAGTTTCTGTTCTTTGGTATTTTTCCATTACTGGTAAAAGTTATAAGTTCACTGGCTTATAAGTTACCCGGGCTGTGATGTTCAAACTTGAAAACAGGTAGTGTATCCCCTGTCTACCATGACTTTGCTTAGATTTCTACTGCTTTGAATTTCTTTTCTGTTCATTTCAAGATTATTCTTGTTAGAAGGAAAATTTATTTTCCTTTGTTTTTTTGTGCGCTTTTAACTCTTTTTTAAAAATGTACCAAAATTATCACATCATTGCATATATGAGTGTGTGTATCTCCATCTATATAGATCTCTATCTAGTGTGTATGTGTGTGTGTGTGTGCGTGTGTGTGTGAAAGAGACAGAGAGAGTATACTATATGTATACATATACATATGTGTGTATACCTGTAGATATTACTGTGTGTGGATATATTTGAATATATGTGCATTTGAGTGTGTTTGTATGCTTGTGAGAGCAAGAGGAGAGAGAAAAGGATTGAGAGATGTGTGTATCTTTAGTATTGTTTTTGACTTCCACACCTCCACTTATTCTTGGCCTTAGTTTTCCTAACACACTGTCTTCCTGGCTGTGTCTCCCTTTTGAACTGGCTTTTGGTTACATGTACTAACATATTTTATACATCACATTCTCTGAAAATAATAGCTCATTCAAATTTTTTGTACATTTGTAAATTTCTTAAAACTTATTTGTTCATTAGAGGATCCCATGTCTCTCAAAACAGCCACTTCACTTTTAGAATTTAGAGTTTAAATTTATTTTATTTTAATCCCTTAATATTTGAAGACTAAAATATGAGTTGTAAAGCATTCTTTTTCTAAATTGTAAATATTATGAAAACAAGGTCATATTTTCCCCAAATTCTTGTGTCTTCTACCTATTATTCTGCTTCTCATGGTTACTCTGATTTAAGTCCAGAGTAGTACTCCCTTCATTAATTCCAAAATCGTCTGAGATGCATTA